GGAGTTTTGTAGTACCAAGAGTCAGAGGAGTTCTGCACAGTTAAATGGCATGAAGTCTACATGAGAATCCTTCTCTGCATTGACATCAGCCAGGTTTAAAATATTTTCCTTGGTTCTTTAGAATCCCCATCACTATAAGGAAGCCCTAACAGACAGCACAATATAGCGGTTAAAGCACAGGACTGGGAGAGTCAGGAGGTTTGTGTACTACTTTGTGCTTTCCCAAAGGTCACACAAGAAGTTACTGCAAATCACTTAGTTTCTCTGTGTCTCAGTTTCTTAATCTAGAAAATGGGGATATTTATTTAACTCACAGGAGCATTACAGGATTAATTCCTTGGTGTTTGGAGTGCACTTTGATAATCTATACAGAGTACACTGTAGAAGTGCAGTGCATTATGAAGTGAATCAGTTCTCAGTCCACTGATTAGGATAGTAAATAAGGGCTACTTTTTCTTTAAAATAATGGTCTGTTTCAGGATCAGCTTTTTGGAACTATAGAAAATCACTGTCAGGTGCTGAGTACAGGACCCAATAAAGTCAGTAAAAGCTGAAGAGACTCAACTCCCCAGAGGATTGGATCTTTAATGACTCATTTCTTGGTCTGAATGTCCTCAGGCAGCTTTCAGAATGTCAAGCCAGACACTGAGCCTACATAATCACATCTCTCAATGACGTGGGCGTAAATTCTGTTTTTAATTTACCAACTGCCATCATTCTTCAAGTCACTCTGTAGCGATTAATGTAGAAAATTCTGTCCAGCTGCATCTCTGCCTTCCCACACAAGGGTACTGTACTTTTAAGTCCAGTAGAACTGTGGTCTCAAAACTTTTTCATAAGAAGGACAACGTCTTACAGTGTCTCATGAATTACCGACCATTCTATTTGCAATCTCATAACAGCTCTGTGGCATCACCAGCAATTGCTTACAGGGAAGAATAATATTAGAAAAGCAATGCCGTTTTGCTATTTTTTTTTAAAAAAAAGCTATTTAGTAGTTGCAAATGAGGAGAGAGTGCTATGTGACTATCAGGCCTGAAATGACGCAATAGCTCAGCAGATGACCAGCAATCTTTAGAACCAAGGAACTTCTTGGGAACTTCTATTTCAGTCAAATGTAGCATATGTGTACTAGACCACCACCCTAACTTGATGAGATGCACCGAAATCAGATGAAATTAGCTAGTGCTCTTGGGGAAGTATCAGGTCTTGATTTTCAATTGAACCTCAACTCATTTTCTGCTTAGGCATGTGTAACTGCAGGTGCACATCCTTGTACATTAACACTTGTACATACTGGATGAGAAAATCCATCCTCTGTATACACAGGTCCTAGTGCACCAGAAGAGCTCAAGCATATATGGAGACTATCTGACGAAAATTAGGCCCTTAGTGTCTTATATTAGATCACATTTAATCCAACTGCATGACGATGTGATCCCACCAGTCTGTGTTGTGGCCCTGTTCCAGAAGTGCTGGTGTACATAGGGGGCATCAGCAGCTAGAGTGTGTCATGAACAGCATCGGACAGTTTGAGTCTACCATGCCTAGGTACGCCTCCTCCTTCTCCATCATAAGGTATGTCAAGTGCGTTTGGTGGGTCAGAAAACACTGCAGAAACGTCCACCAGCATGTCACAGAAGCTCAGCCTGTTTCACGACACAAGGGTGAAAGCTCAATCAAGGGAAAATTCTTCAAGAGGCACCTCCTCTACGTTGCTCGCTCTGGTAGCTGGAAGCACACACAGCAAAGTGACTGCTCAGCAGTATGTGTTGGCTAGAGTTACCATACGTCCGGATTTTCCGTGAAGCCAGTAGCACTCAGGCAGCTGTTTCGCGTGGCTGGAAGGGAGGAGGGAGAATGTGGGGCGCTCAGGGGAGGGGGCGGAATTGGGGCGGGGGCAGGGCCCCGTGGAGTGTCCTCTTTTTTTAATTTTTAAATATGGTAACCCTAGTGTTGGCAGGCTGTTCAAACTTCCTGAAACATGCAGTGTGGGCAGTAAAGTTTTCCACTATGCACCATGGTCAAAGGTGCTAGAATGGCCACATTTCAGGAGTGTGTGTGGGAGTCTGGGATATGCTTGGTTTGACTCAGGTCTGTGTGCTGCTGTGTGGATGCCAGAGTCCCAGGTTCGAGCCCAGGTTAGAAAATTCTGAACACCGGGTTAATAATTAGCAGGTCATATGCTCAAGTCCTGGGTTCTCTAACACACGTCAGTGGATTCCAGTCCCACTAACCCTGGGCTTACAATGCGAAGTAGACATACGCAAAGGGAGATTGTGGAATCCCTATCACTGGAAACTTTTAGGAACAGGTTAGACAAACAACTGTCTGGGATGGTCTAGGTATACTTGGTCCTGTCTCAATGCAGGGGACTAGACTTCATGATCTCTCAAGATCCCTTTCAGTCCTATATTTCTTTCTATGATTCTGAGGCCCATTTAAAGCATGCCAAATATTTTTAATTCTCTTTTTGACTGTGACCACGTTATTAGACCATTACTATTGCCACACACTTTCAAGAGGGTGACTCAAATGTAGGGCTGGATGTGAAATGGTGCTGGGGCCTTCTGAGTTAACCACATCCACTATGATCGAATTGGGAGGTGGGTAGGAGAAGAGAAACTGTCTTTTGCTGGCACACAATTTTTTTTGTTGGCCTGCTTACATGTTGGCAGGATGGATGTGGGGGGTCTGCCATATGATTTTGGCAAGGTCCAAGAGTACCTCATTAATAAGGAGGACTGCTCTGGACAAGGCAGAAGAATGTAAGATGTCCAATAGTTTGTGACTCGGTCACCTCCTGTAGTGCCTCTGCCGCCCGCTGGGCCAGGTCCTGAAATAGTTTGAAGTCATCTGCCATCGATGGTGGAGGGAACATCACCGTCTCATCTGGTGATGACAATGAGAAATTAGCCTGAGGGGTAACTTCCTCCTTGGTTTCAGCCTCTTGTTCCTCCCTTGTTAGCTCAGGGGGCTCAGATGCCCTCGATGCAGCAGCTGAAGGAGGATGTTTCCTCAGTTGCTAATAGGCCACATTAGAGCTGTGGGAGGCAGCTTTGTCTTTGAGCCTGTCAGGGAGGGGCCAGGTGGTTGGTACCAAGGCTGTCCATACAAGGGAGGCTGTGGGTCAGGGGGATGGTATGGTTGTGGTCCATGGTGGAATTGGGCACCATATGGAGAGTGAGAAGAGCAATGGGAGACCAAGTCCTCTTGCTCACTTTCTGACTCAGTGGATGAGAAGAGTAGTGCATGACATGAGGTTGTTGGTGAGACAGGAGCTCTGGGTGAACTCGGTAGCAGGGCCCCAGTACTGACCAGAGGCGAATCCAGCAAACCCAACACCAAGAGGTCCATCGCATAGCGGAAGTCTGGTGGTGCCAAAGGCATCGGTAACCAGTGGTGGTTGTCGGTACTGAGATGCCTGCACCAAAGGAGTCAGTAATGTGGACCTGGTAGTATGGTCCGTCCATGCCTGGCGTGCCACAAGCAGTACGATGTTTATGTCCATATCACAGGCGCCTTCCCCAGGGCGGATTTTCTGTGTTTGTCGCACCAGACAGTACCGATGGTTCCTTGCTTGTGCCCATTGTGTTCTTAGGCAACCCCACATGCTCTGTTGGGGCAGTATCACGAGAGCCCTGGGTACTGTATTTAGAAAGCTTTGGTGCAGTTGGTACAGACAATCGAGCCGGAGATAGTCTTTGCCTCAATCAGGGGTCACTGTGGGGACTCATGGCCCTTTTCTTAGAGCCATCTCTTTGGGCTCACCTCCCTTAGAAGTAGAGGGTTGTGGTGAGGTTTTCCGCCATCTGGGGTCCTGGTGCAGCTTGGATGATTGAAGGGCTGCCTCTATGAGTAGGAGCTTGAGCCTCAGTTCTCCATCCTTTCTGGATCTGGGCTTCAGTTGCTGGCACAATCCACACTTCTGTGGGATGTGCTCCTCTCCCAGGCAGCAGACGCCCTGAGAGTGTCCATCAGTCACTGGAATAGATTCCTTGCACCTGAGACACTTCTTGAAGCCTGGAGAGCCAGAAATACCCTATCCAAGGGGGGTGAGGGGGAGTCCCCCCAGACAGGGGATTAAGGAAAAATGAAGTCTTTTTTGTTTTGAGCAAGGGCCAAATAAAAGATAAATGGAGTAAAGAAAGAAAAGCTTAAAAAAAAAGCTAAAGAGCTTTTAGCAATTCTAAAGAGATTAATGATCCGCTAACGAATAGCTAAAGCTCCATCTCTAGCCAGGGGCAGCTGAAAAGGAACTGCGGAGGGTTTGCCTGCACAGTGCTGGTTTGCATCGTGGGGGGGCAGTGCATGCGCAGGCTGAACAGACACTGCTACCAAAGTTCTCCGATCAGCAGTGCAGGGTCGCAGATACAACTACAGTAGAGCACCCATAGGGACACTACTTGAAGATACAGCAGAAAATACTTTATTGCACTGCACAACTGTTTATAACACTGGGTCATTTTTGTTTAGAGTTCCTAAGGAAGGAATTTCTCACTTTAAATAACCCCATATACATTAATGAGCAGATTCAAGAAACTAAAGAATAATCATAAGGAGATACATTCTCTCTTTAGGATTTTCATTATACCCTATTACACACAGCTCTTGAGCAGTTAACTTTAAACTTCTCAGGCTAAGAGTGATGGATATCTAAAAACCCAGGATCTACTTTCTCAGAGTAATAATTTGAAAAAGTCAATCACACTTCAGTTTGTGGTGCAATAATAAAGAACGTGCAATGACAATCAACTAGAATAACTTATAGTATCAAATAGTATTCCTTCCTGTTTTTTGTATGGAGATTTTCTATGACTGTTACTCATCATAGCAAGCATCTGCTAGATAAAATTTTCCTCCATTGGTATACACTTTCGGAATACAGGGTTCGTTGTTAATAGCATAGTATAATTACTACATATATGATCTGATAGTTAACTACAGCAATATATAAAAAATAAAAACATCTAAATAGAGAGAAGCAAGGGGCATCTTACCTGGTTCCTGTCACGTGCATTTGTGTACCTGATCTTCTGGATGAAGTAAAATATTAACCATGCTGATGAAATTATCATCAAAACGATGAATGATATTGACACAAAGACTAGAGAGCCACGACTAAAATTCTTTGGAGGAACTCTGGCTCCAACTGCTATTGCCATCAGGACAGAGATGTTCTTTTCCAAGTAATTGAGGATCTCCTTTACCTTGGACTCTGTAATCATGACAGCAACAATGTCTCCAGTTCCTACAAAAGAGACAGATAAAAGAAAAATCCACTCACTTTACATCGAAAATTAACATGGCACACTGTTCACACCAAAGCTTTATTACACAGAGGTTTGATGACTTGTCTTAAAGGATGCACCTAGCCCTCTTCAACACCTTGTGGCTGTTTAGCATTCATGGCTTGTACTGAAGACAGATCTCTGAATTGTGATGTTAGGTTTCCACAGTGCTACCATGTATTTGAATGCTACCAATTTATAGATTGTCAATGGGTGCTGTTTTTTTAAACTGTGTGTGTATTGAACTAGTGTAAAAAGGTACATTTCTTATCTACATATGATACCCTGCAAACTTCAGCCATAAGACCAGAGCCGATATTTATTCTCCTGGAACTTAAATACTATTCCACAGAAATCCCACTAGAAATTTTCACTTCTACAGGAAATAAATGGCATTTATTAGGGTTTTTGTTTTGTTACAGAACTTCATAGGTATCATCCATGTAAAGTTCAATGTGTTTTAAAGAATAATTACATCTCTTAGGAAGCCAAGTAATTAAGGGAGAAAAAGTTATTCTCAGTTCTCCCCCTCAGGAGGTACCAGAGTGTCAAGTGGGGCAGCAATCTGTTGGGGGCCTATAAAATATCTGAAGAGGGAGGGAAGCAGCATAGGTGTCTACAAAGTACATGCAATTAAC